TTTAATTGGTAGATATATTTATACATTTATCAAACGATTCAAATATACTTTAATATATCATCTTTAATATGTTGCAATTATTGTTATTATTTTTTGTATATATATATATATATTCATGTACACGTATAATGGATATAATAGAGAGTATATATGTAGGTATAAAGATTTCTGAAGTGGGCGTGGTACATAACATTGGATGGGAAGGTACTGTATTAACAATTGTTACAGGCAGGGCTGGCCACATATACAGGAATAACATATACATTTATATATAGAGTTACATTAGTTTGTGTTCGTCTGACATATTTGTTCAACAAGCTTYATATATGTAAGTATATAATTTTCGATTGATGTAAATTGAATAACAGATATAAATATAAATACATATATATATAAACGTGTTCTCATCGATTGATTYAATTTGGACTCTCTGCATTATCGTCGCATTCCTCGTCAACAATGGGCTTCTTATCGTCCACTTTTCGGCGACCCAGGAAACGTTCGAGCACCGTATGCTTGGCCACATTCTTGGAAGCCTTGAAGGATCCCCAGTTGAGTTTGCCTGCCTCCGATGAGGTCATCAGAATGGAGTACGTGGAACAGGCTTCGCCCTCCTTGCTGTGCCGAATRCCGTACAGGAAGTAGACGACCATGCCTATGGTGACCCAGACAAAGAAGCGCACCCAGGTCAACGCATCCAGATGGACCATCAGCATAATATTGCTAAAGATGCCCAGGGCCGGCACGAAGGGCACCAGCGGCACCTTGAAGTTCAACCCGCGCGTGTTCTGATTGTGCACGGCCATGACGGCGACACAGGCGCTGGCCGCAAAGATGATGAAACCGTAGACGAGCAGAGCCCACCAGGTGCCGGAGTAGAGCTGCGCCCACGACACCTTCAGCTCCAGGCAGATGGCAAAGCTGAGCACAATGAAGAGCAGCACAGCCACCGAGACCACCGACCCAGGTGCGAAGCGGCCCAGCAGTGGCTCCAGCCAGCGAAATTGCGGCTTCAGACGGCCAGCCAGAGCGCC